GTAAACAACGACTTTCCAGGATGTGCATGGTTTTGGGGCGCGACTGAAGCACAAGTTTTTTCTGCCGGCTCAAAAGTCGGGCTATGACATCTGAGTTTGAGTTTCACACACTTTGCCAGCAGAGATTGTAAATGAGAAGTTTTTACGGAAACGGTGTGTGGATTCGAGATGGCAACGTTTGAAGACAAGTGGCACTGTGTTCAAGAAACTAATAAAATGTGAATAACTAATGTTTTCCTGCGCATTTAACAAGCAATGTGCTTTAAAGATTTTAAAATAATATACAAAAAATCGGAGGGAGTATGAAATCTTATTCTTTCAGATGTAATATAATGAATCAGAAGAACATAACTTAAGAAGGATTGAGGAAAGAATAATTAAAGACAAGCTTCGGAAATAGTTTCTTAAAAAAATAACATTTTATAAATTAAATTGAAGCTTATTCCGTTGCATAGACAGAGTTCAAAAGAACATATTGGCTCAAAAAACATTTTTGAAGATGTACGCTAATGGCATTCCCCTTTTGACATTTGTTGATGTGTCTCCAAAGAGCATTCAGCAAAATTTTCAGGGAATTTCATCATTCTGTTGTATTAAAAACCACCTCCTTTCATTGCATATATTATGTGCGTAGAACGTGTCAGAATCTGGGACTGTCTTACACTTTTGCACTTGGTCCTTTTCTTCTCTGGCATGTCATTCAATCATTTCTAAAGGTGGAGGAGCGTCAACACATTCCTCGTAATAAAATGCCCTACAATCTGGCTCGTGTTGGAATTTGGAATTTTGATTTTTCAGGTAACGTCAACACGGAGAAAAGGTGAGTGCTGGGAAATGGAGGAGCGAATGGGGATGTGCTGGGAAATGTGCTGGGAAATGCTCTGCAAACATTTGGGCCTGACAGCGACCAAAAAATCGTGCATTGACGATGATAACGTGCTGGCCTCAGCTGACATCGCCACGTCCATCGACCATCGGTCCCTGCATATTCACGCCGCATTAGCGCTCGGTGACCAGCGTTCCGGGCCTGCAAACCGGACACAGAGGAGCGCATTTGGGTTTGGGTTTGGTTTCGGCATTTCGGGTTTCGTGTTTTTGGGGCGGGTGTGAAGCTTGTGGCTCCCGCCGCTCTGCCTCGGTTGATGCTTTTGGCACGATCCACTGATTTCCGGACCACCCGTTGGCCCACCCAACTGAATATTTGAAATGACGTCGGCATGGGAGGCACTCGGTCCAGCCACCTCGAATCGGCCAACTTGCTAGCTAAACATATGCTAATCGGCTTGTTTGCCTCAGGTGGGGCAGATGCAGGTGAAATGCTGTGAAATGCATCAAATGTCTGCGGCTCGTTGTCCAACTTGCAGCAAGCAACTGCAATGTGCGATTATTTGTTCACTTGCTTGAGTTTACTTGCTTTGAATTCACTAAAAACTGCGTTCTTTAATAACCATGAAATATAATTAATTTTCTTTAAATAATACACAACAAATTTCTTAAAGCGAAACTATAATTGAAGGGAGGATATAGCCTTTAAAAACTAATTAACAGTTGAATTTGCAAACGTATTTTTGTATGTGCATTTTAAAACAAACCAACACTCTACCGCAAACTTCCCATCGTGTTGAGTGTCGTGTGTCGTGGGTCGTGGGGATATAAACGAAAGTTGAACCTCCGCTCACAATCTGACAAGCGGTAAAAATAATATCTTTTATTAGCATAATGAAGCCATTAACCCGCAAAGTCAACAAGTCAACAGCACCAGATAAAATCATCAGTCGCCCACATTAACTTCAATTCGCTCCCTCGCACACGCACCATTGCATTCTGAAGCTCTTGCACCCGGCACTCCCTTTGGCCCCGATAAGCGATCTCAAAAAACGTGAGCCCCATTCAACCCATTCAACCCATTTACATGCAACGCGTGCAGGGCGGAAACGGAAGTGCCGAGGCAGCTCTGAAATAATATCAAAAATGGCTGCCGGAGGCGGCAACAAAAAGTTGCAGCTACGTGCTGCAGCCGATGCCAGTGTTGTAAAATGCTAACGAGCCCCGGCAACCTTTATTGTCCTGGCACGCCCACTGGCGCTTCCCCCGGCGAGCCACCCTTTCGTCCTGCATCCCATCATCAACGTCGTCCTTGTCGTTGTAGCCGATGTCGTCGCTTTGAGTGACTTTGGCATGAATGCGGAAGGTGGCCGGCAGCTAATTTAGCTGCCTTTGCAAAGTCAGCGGCATTTCATTTCGTCGGATTATCCGTGGCTGGTGTTCTGGCAATAGGGTTCTCCAAGGGTTTTAGAGGCAGTGAAACAATTTTGGAATGGCAATAATTTAAGCACCTTTTAGAAAACTTTGAAAACCAATAAGACTGTACTTTTTTTGGAGTATCAATAAGAAGTCCCACCATAAAATGGGCTATCATGCATAACTGTGTTCCTATATTAATAATTTTTTAAAGAACTAAGCGTAACTACCGAAAACGGAGAGTCCTTTTTGAGAAACGGAATCCCGGAACTCCTTGCCAAAGTTACCGTCTACGTCTCAGTTTCGGCGAACAGCAGCTGCTGGCACCTATGAGCAGCACGGGCAACTCGGGCAGCAGTTGCAGGCTGCAACTATAAAATACCAGTTTACTCCGCAAGCAGTTAGTATACTTTCTTGGCAACGGGACTCGCCTGCCTGCCGTTCTTCCTGCCATCCTGCCGCACAATCCCTACTCCGGTTCCGATTTCGGCTGGCATTCGCTTCCATTCGCTTCCATTCCTGCCCTGAATCTGGAAAGGATGCTGGCGGTACGACGAGTGCATGCGGCTGGGTTTTTCCTCGCTCTGCTCTCTGGGCTTTCTTTTAGCCAGAGCCATTTTATGTATTTTTATGGTAGGTTGCAGCCACTGACGCTGCTGCCGCTTGGCCCGGAAAGCGGAAACCGAAAATTGCTACTTATTATGTTACTAACTTTGTGTTGCCAACACCGCTCGACTCCTTCTGTCCCAACTCCTTGTGTATGTCTGCGTGCGTGTTTGTGGAGCTATGTAGACGGGGCTAGTTGTTGGCTGGTGTGATAATGTCAGGTTTTGTTAAAATTAAATTGCATGTCTTGCTGCGTTGAAGTTAAATTATGGCCTCCCAGGGTCGAAGGTGTGGCATTCAACTTTACATCTCCGACTGGGAATAGTTTCACGAAAAAGTTTTCACCTGGAGTATCTGGCATTCAGCTTTAAACAGCCCGGAGAATACAGCTCTGGGGCATATAAAAAATAATAGAAACACAGACACATACGCACAGAAAATTTCGTAAGGACATAATGACTATTTTTTGTTTTTTTTTTTGTTTTTTTTGACGTTTTCACATTTCTTTCTCGCAGTTTCCCAGCGGGGTAGCAGAAATATAACATTTTTTGCGTTTCACCGCAAACAGTATGCAACAGATTTTTTCTTAGCCACATGGTGCCAGGACAAAAACAGTCGACCATTTATGCAATGTTTCCACTCTCCCCTTATTTTTTAGTTGACGCTGTGATTTTTACCGGCATTACGAAATATTAACAGCATACGGCATACATAGGAAACACGATTCTTGCTTTTTAAGGCAACCAGCTACTGATGGAGGAGGGAAAATTTGACTAATGGCTGTTTGATGCCCCTGAGAATTGCTTTGTGGTAATGGACTTGTCTTGGAAGTGAAAGCACGCATGTGCGAAAATAAATGGAAAACAATATTGTAATTCAAAGTAATTTTTTAATTCCATCGAAATATTTTACTGGAAAACCGTTTTGATAAATAAATAACTGAAAATTAATTAAATATAAATGCATGTCAGTACTAAAAATACAAACTATATGCTGCGATCTTGATGAAGCCCTGAAACATAAAAGAGTGAAAAACCAACATGTTTGCCTAACAATTAAAATAAAGCCTTATTTAGATCCATCCTCGACTGTCTTTGACCTTGACAATAGCGAGGCGATGCAATCCCTCTCATGAATCCATCTGGAAATGTTTTTCCCTGAAGTATCAACCCTATTGGCAAGCCTTAGCTGCAACCCATGGCAGCATTGGCAAATATGAAAAACAACACGTTTCCAGGCAATAAATCTTGGACGGCGAATGTTTTGCACGTATGCGGAAGGAAGATAAACTCCGGAGACTAAACGAGAAACACATGCAACGCATGACAGACAGGAGACGCGTCGCATTCTGGGTTTTTATTTGTACTTTTATTTTTTTTATGTGCATTTAAGAGAATATTATCGCTGTGATTATTATTAGTTGTGATTGAAATTAGTAGACAATTATGGCAAGCAAATTTGCAAAAGGGAAAATAGCCTTTCCATTTTCAATTGGAAATTCCAGCACGCCGTCCTCCGTTTGCTCCGTAATTTATTGGCTTCCCTGCAAAATTGTTTCCGAATACCTCGAGCGAGTGCATTTGGCCAAACTGCCCCTATATTTGCCGCGCCAAGGAAGGCAAACATTAACGAATGTTCAAGCACCTCCGTATCAATATCAGTCCGCTGCCACGCCCCTTTTCCATCCGGTTCGTGTATCTCTAAATTGAGTACGTGTTGTTCTAGCTGTTGAACGTGTTTCGGTAAGTACTTGGGCCAACACGAGTGTGTGGTTGGACGTGAGTGTGTAGGGATGTTGGCAACTTATTTCTTTCAGTTATATGGTTTTCCAAACGTGTCTGATTGCTCTCTAATGGCATTTTATTGCATTTATTAAAAAGAACTTAAGGCTAATTCAAAAATCAGGCAATTAGATGCTTAAGTGGTATTGCTTAAAAAGCCTTGAACACCTAAGGGAATCCAAACGCGTTAGCGGCTGTAATAAATAATACAAATTTGGATTTGTTTGCTGAATATCGATAGGAACCTTTTACATTTAATTCCTAAGCTAAATATCTTTTCGAAAATATAATTATTGTTCAGCATTGCTTATCCTGTTATCGCCAAAGAAGTTAAATTGGAAATGTGTTAAAATTTAAATTAGAATTTATTCATTCATTATTCAAAAATTTATTCACTTGCTAATTTTGAATGTGAGTCCCACAATAAAAACTTTCCCGCTTAAATCAGCACTGGGTAATTTAAAATTCTGGCATAAATTTAGACATAATCAAAACGGGTAAGCCCCTCTAGGATGTGGCAGCGCCACTCAGGGTATTAGCCGAAGGATAATAGGATCGCATGAGCATACAACGCTCCCGATCGATGAAAAGGCTACGCCTCTTCAGCATAATCTCCCGTTCAAGTCGGGCACGGGAATTCACCAGGTCCGTCTTGACCCGCTCTGCTTCCTCAAGCTCATGAAGAAGGGCCGAAACGCTGCTCTGGATGGTGTGCACCCCATCGATGAGCTCCTGCTGGGCCAAGTCCCGGCAGTTCTCCACATTTGGCCGATAGCTGCGGTTGTCCATGCGCGTTTGGGCCACCTTCATGGAGGCATCGAAGGAACTAATGCGACGCTTCATTTGCTCGATGCGGTTCTCCACGTCGGCTAGACCCTGCAGGATATTCTTGAGATCGTTCTCGAACCTTTGCACCGCTTCTTGGGTGCAGTTGATCCTGGAGGTCAGGGCCTTTTCAACGACATCGGCCTGCGTGCGAATATCTCTGGCCGCGTTCATCATTGTCGAGTTCAATGTGTTGCGCAGGGTCACCGACTTGAGGCGACACTTTTCGCATTCGTCCAGGGTCTCCATGCTGAAATGTTCCCAGTACTTTTCGGATGCTTGTTCTGGTGGCTGGCGCACAGCTCCCGGTCGAAACATGATCGTCCTGGAGCAGTTATTTAGCCCGGTATTTACGGTATCAATGTCGTAGGCCTCCTTTTTGTCACTCCAATCGTATTCCAGGCGCTGCCTAGCCGTGCGATTCTCAACCTGCTGCGTATTGAAGTCATCCAGCGTTTTCATCAACAACCTTCGGATTTCAGCGATGAGGGCCAGCTCGTTGACCAGCTCCTCCTCCACCTGGTCGCGTACCAGCTCGGTATCTGGTCGTGTGGCCCTCTTCTCAATGCACTCCTTAGCTATGGATTCCGGTACGCCCAGAACCACCATGGACTTTCGCAGCTTAATCCGCTCCACTTCCATAGTGGATATCTCATCGGCCATCGCCTTGATGGCATTCTCCAGAGTATTCTTCCATTTACCAATCAACTGCGAACGGATCCTCAGTTTGTCAGTGGTTTCCTTTTGCGACTTGGCCACCAGGGCAGAGAGCCTTAGGAATTCGGTAGTCGAACTGAAGCGGTTTCTGTGGATTAGATTTCGCAGTTAGGCGGTTTAGTAATTCGAGGTCCTTAAATTCTGAATGCGTACTTGTCCGCCCTGCCCAAGCTTCCGTTGACGACCTGCACAGTCTCGTGGTTCCTGGTCCGCCATTCATTGGGGCTGTATCGGGTGATCGAGTAGCGGTCCACAACGGGTCTTGTGCCTGTTATCCCGGCCATGGGGCTCCAATCTACTTTGCCCGATGCCCAAGGACCAATCGGACCCATGGGCATTAGCTGGTCCTTGTGGGGCAACTCATCCCCCTGTTGGGGCAAGTAGCACGGTGGATTTCGCAAATCATCTGCTTCGGGGTCCATGGAACGCTGTCCAGAAAGTGCGAAAAATTGCATAAATTATGAATATAAATAATAGCTAAGTTCATTGACTCAGCTCACCGCAAACTGCACTTCCTCCATTTTGAGTGGCTTGTGCGATTGATTATACTGTTCAGCACGCATGTCGGCCAACTGCATCTGTTGTTGGTCAACTCCTGCTTGGAGATCCGCCTGCAGCTTCTGATGCTCTTGGGCGGAACCCATGATATTTTGGACCAGGTGCTGTTGGGCGGCCTCATCGGGGTGAGGCGTCAAGGCCACTAGGGCGGGCTGTGGGGGCTTTTTCAGTCGGTGGGAGGGTGGTTCCGTTGGCAGGGGACAGATTAGCGGAGCCGGGCAAGCGGACCCCGGATTTAGCTCGATGGTCTTGCCCTTACACTCGGGATTCGCCTCCGGTGATTTTTTCTCCAAGCAATTCATTATGGCTCAACTTACGACTAACTTGTGAAAATAAGAAAATATCACGTGGATTGTAAAGTGTACGAATGACTTTCGTCTGGTGTTGGGCACAGACTAATATTGAAAATTTTGGACGTTTGTTTGAAGGGCGCAAACAAAGAAATAGGTTGCTGGGGTGCCTCATTGTTAAGTTCGGCTTATTGGCAACGGTTACTATATTGTATTGTGTGTTTCGAATGAAAAGTTAAATGTATTTTTAGAAAATAGCATACCATTTCTGTACTTTTTATGTATTTTAATTTAATTCACACTCTAATAAAGAATACAACGATATATTAAACATTACCAATCTCTTCTGTTTTTAGGATTACTTGCCCAATGAGCACTTGGAATTTAGAAGACACTCAAGTTAAGTTGGGACTTAACCTATCCTTTCGCCATATTCTGGAAAAACATGATGGAGAACTCAAGGACATTGCTGGGCTTGTACCGCAGCAGGTTGAGCACATAATCCTGCATAAAATCGGCCAGCTGTGAATTGCTGCTCAGATAGCTTGTGGCATTCTCGTAATTGAGGGCTTTGAGCTCCCGGAACTTGCGAGACAGCTGTTCGTTTTGGCGCCACATCAGTTCCAGTTTGGGCAGGATGGGTTCCTTTCTCTTCGGTGGCATGCAGGCGGCATGCAATAGGTAGTTATAGCCGCGCCAATAGTGCAGAACAATCCGACCCTCAGGACTCATGAAGGTCTCGGCCACATCCTGCAGTTCGTCGTTGAAGCACTGCTGGGTGAAGATGTGCACGACATTCTTGTATGTGCGATAGAAAATGCGCACCTCCTTGCGCTCCTTAGAAACAACCAGATTGCAGCGCAGTACTCGGGCCATACAAATTCATTGTGTAGACTCGAAGTTGCC